CTGGAATCAGATATGGTTGCATCGTCAATCGAGTTCACTCGACCTCGAATCTCGGCCAACGTTTGTACCAACTCATTAACATCCACTCCGTCTTCAATATCGAAACTCCAAAACTCTTGCATCAAGTCATCAACATCTTCACCCGAATTTGGACAATAGAACTCCCGTAAGTTATCCCAGCATTGTTTGGCGGTAAAGGAAGGACCAACAAGGTTGAACACAATGTCGGGAACGAGCTGAGACATGGCAACACAAATATTTTTATCCTGCTTTCTGATGTCTGAAATGGTTGAATCCTTAGCTTTTAAATCTCCTTCAGTAATTTTGTTGACGAGAAGGTAGTCATTGATTTCATATAAAGACAAAGCATCTTGAAAATGAATACTCCATCTATTGTATGTTAAAGTTGATAGCTTTGGCGCACACTTCATAGACTTGAGGATATCTGCGGCCGACATGGCGAAGGAATAATTATATAATAATATTAAAAATCTGATTAATTCATTTGATGTAATATATTTAACTCAAGTAGTCTGGTAGCTAACTTGGTCTCATAATCTGTTGGAAAGTGTGTATGGGTTCTAAGAGGAAACTCACTCAAAGAATATAGGCACAGCTTCAAAGTACTTTGTAGTAGTTCAATCAAATAAATTATTCACGTAAATTGTTCTTATTATATTATATTATTTGTCGGAGCCGGCAAAGACGAATTCTTCACCTTCCAGTGGTGCCGGTGTAGTCGCTCAGTATGCTCTGCATATCTGGGATAGCCAAGAAGAATCGCATCCAAATCGAAGTCGAAAGCAAACACATACATATCTCGATTTAACGACTTCTCAATCATGCAGCACTCATCATTATCTTCTGACTCCTCAACCTCTTTCTAACCACATATCATCTCGCCTCGACGACCGATAAACGCGTTACCCCAATTGCAAACAAAAGCTTGCCTCATTTATTACCGGCCATCACTCTCTACATATTTACGACGCTACGTATACCCGCAAGGAGGAAATTAAGTCATAATATACAAATTTGGGGTCTTGGTTTATGAGGGACTACTGCTCTAATGGGGTTATACATCTTGAGGAAGAACAAGCGGCTGAGATGTGGAGCGAGAGGAGAAAGAAGTCTCTGAAGACCATGCTGGGACTGACATTTTCGAGGAGTTTTCAACTTTGGATTTTTTGTGGGCACCAAGACCAAGATTTCGGCTAATTAGCCAGGAGGGCTTCTTTTGTTGATGAGTCAACGGCACTCCCAGCGCCCTGGACGGTATAAAAGAAGTTAGGCTAAGCTACTATACAGCAATCACGCTCTGTCAAGACTTTTCTGACATTTCAGCACGACCTTCGGGAAGGAGTTGGAAGGAGGCTAGAAAGGCAGAGTGTGAATTCTCCGAGGTACCCACAAGTCTGCAGCGCCCAGCTGGCCGGCCTCTTCGAAGGCTTCAGAAGGGGCAATATGTCTTCGGATTTATTCCTAATGTCGGTATTAGAAGAAACCCCGCACCTAGTGGTTTTTGCGATTTTTCCCGTCTGCTATATACCCGTAAATGGCCATCGTTTCGTTGGCTGGAGAGGGGAGATAATGAAGGGCTAAGGGCTCCTCTTAGTGTATGATTGAATGAGGACTTGTGAGGGGTGGTACTGTTTGAGGGAGCTGTATGGGAGGCATAGGAGGGGATATACTACTGGTATAGGTATCCTTGGCCTGTAGGCAGAGAGGACCTGCATGTCCTACATAGTCATAGACTCAGACAGGACAATAAAATTGTTGGAAATGGAGACACGGAGTGTTGTGGACGTATGGGCTCTCAATTTCGTCTAAGTTCCCAACACGATCTCGTGTGTATTTAAGAGGTTGGAGTAGGTAATATGGTAGCGCTTCAGGCTACCTATTGGACATATGAGCGGCTGTAGGGCGTGGGCGCAAGGAGGTTATTGGGGGTTTTCTATGCCTAGATGGCGCCACACTCGTTTATGCTGTGGCTTAGGCTCTGTGTCGCTTACACTTGTACTTGTACTTGTAGCGCATACTTCCCACACTTTTAGTTGCAATCCGAACATAACACTTTTTTAGTCAACTTCTACTTTCGTTCCATGAACAATGCGCCCATCACATTGCGCGATATTTCCAACAAAAATGAATTAACAATAACCCAACCACTTTTCCTGGTCACGGAGGAAAAGCCGTCCGACTAATTTCTGTAGCGCACTCAGCACTCCATATGACCTCAAATCATACAAAGAAGGGAGATACAGAAGGATATGCGCACCTCGTATGACCCCGGTGTCTAAGCGCCGCCCGGCTGGGGCTGCAGGTTTTTTTAAGAACTTATTATGAGAAGAAGGTTCCGTGAAAAAGGTGGCTGAATTCCACGGGTAAATACTGAGCTCAATGACTATCCATCACAGGCAACATGTCAGTGATCTTACAAGTAGCAAAAGAGGATAGGAACAATGTACAAGGTATGGCCTGGGTCAGAGAGGAGCCCAATGTGCTGGGTAGTCATAGACTCAAGTAGTACAATAAAAACACACACTCTCTCTCTCTGTACAATATTACGTGGATATGTATGAAGTAAAGAAGACTTGATAATTTACAACTATGGGAACATTAGACTTATATATAAATCTATGGGATGGAGGGCAAGACGGAACACCTGTACACGACGTCCTCTACGAACCTGAAACGAAATATTCTCTTAGAGCCAAATTCAGTCAAATTCCGCAATACCCAAGAAGTTGGCACTTGAGGCAATGACTCGAAATGCTCCAACCGCTCAATTTTTCACACCCAACGAGATCACTATCTACTAAATTTTCATCGTGTTCACGAGTATGACCTAGTATATCCTCATTTCAATAACCTTACTCATAGACTATTATCTGACCTCATCTGGTCACTGAATATACGCCTACGACAATATTTACACCCGACAGAGGAATCAAAGCGTGACGCACAAATCTGGGAGACTGTTCTTTGGGATGGACGTGAGAGGGATCAAGACAAGTTCACAAGATGATGTAGAGGGCGGATGCAGTCTTGACAGGCGTGAAATTTCGAATATTGGCATGGAAATTTAAATATTGAAGAGTATTGTGCGCGACAATACTTCAATTGCGAGAGCGCAGCTGACATTATGAAACAAGCCAATAATGGCTCCTGGTGATGCTCTCCTGCACAGTTTGAGGAGCCTAGACACCTACTCCAATTGTGGAGGAGACGCCTCAAATCACATTTCGTGCGGAGACAAGTCAATGGATGATAGAGGCACGTCTAGATAACTCAGGGTTTTTGAGACATTCCCTGGGTGGGTATTCATGGATTTTGATTGACTTAAGTTGAAGAAAAAGCCGCCATAAATTCGCAGTGGTACTTGCAAATGAAATCCAAGGCATGAGTGCTCATCTCCTAAGTTGAGTCACCCATTGTGTAATTTTTCTCTGGTTTCGTGTAAAAGATAGATGGCTGCATACGCAATTAGAATCTGATGCAAAAACTTGCACTCTATCAAACGTTTAATCGAAATTATTTCTGAATTTAAGCGTAGGAATTGTGACAGATTAGACATAAAATAAAAGTTGAAACGAAGCAATTTTGTGGGGAAGTAGGATCAGAAATTTGAAAAATCTGTAACTTTTATTATTCGTGAAACTAAATAGCGCAGGCACAGTTTTAAGATCAGTGACTTTATCCTAGGAAGCCTAGAGGTCAAATACTCTGGGGTTAAAGCTTGGAGATTCGTGGTTCAGACCATTTTAAGGGAGGATTGATTTCAAAATTTGAGCGATTATCCCACCTGACAACTAAAACATAAAATTTTACGTTGTCATGTTGGGCCACAACTTAGAGGTGGCAATGATGACATGACTAGGTTGAGCTGTTAAGAGATAGGTGTGTTTATTGTACTACTTAAGTCTTGGACTGTCTACCACATTAACCCCTCTCTAGCCCAGACCACTCTTCGTGCAGTGCTCCCATCCTCTTTTGCTACTTGTAAGATCATTAATATATTGCCCATGATGAATAGCCATTCAGCTCAGTATTTACCCGTGGAATTCAGTCACCTTTTCCACGGAACCTTCTACCCAAAAAAATAAAAATAAAAATAAAAAAAAGGTAGCAATGGAAACTGCGTGCGCGGGAAAAAGTCTCAAAAAGCCTGCAGCCCCAGCCAGGCGAGGCCTAGACATTGGGACCACATGAAGTGCGCATATTCATCTACATCTTCCTTCTTTAAAAAATTTGAGGCCAACTTGATCAAATCCACCATCTCCGTATCGGGTGCTAGGAACGCTCCGGAAACTCATTTGATGGCATTTCCTCCATGATCAAGTGTGGGTGATGAGGAGGCTTTCGACACTTACATCTGATCTGATCGTAGTTGGCTTCATGATAGTGGTGATAAGTGTATGCGTTGAGAGATGAAGACGAAACAGACCGCGAGAGCGATTGGGAATCCTCGTCGAAGTGAGGACTGTTTTACTCAATCTCGGCTCTGCAGACTCTACAGTGAGAGCTGAAGGTTCGTAGAGGATGCCACTGACAGGTGTTGAGAATAGTCTCCCGGCCGAGCGGTTAGCTAGTGTGACAGAAGACGCCATACATCATTTAAGAAGTGAATTGATGAAAATGCCCAGTAATTAGAAGATGGACTGAATGTTGTTTATACTCGTTAATTCCGTTGTGATCATGATGATATCGAGAAATCCCATCGCGATTTGTTAATTTTTAACTGTAGGTTGCAAAATCGTGTTCTTTGTTTCATTTCATAAAGTAACATCATAATTCAGCAAGTTTGACCTGCAGCCAGGTCATGTCGTTTGTGCAAGCTCATTAGCAACCTGACAAGGAGCCCCCAATTCGTGTTTGGCAAACTAATAAAAAAAGAAATCCTTTCTCTGTTTGCGAATAATATCAAAGAATATCAATATTTCAGAGCCTAAGATTCGAACCCACTAATGCCGCATGTTCCTGCTTGAAACTCAGAAAGCATGGCCTCTTCCACAACCGTAAAAACGACAGGCACAAATCAGGTAGTTCAAGCACAGGTACCATCAGGTCTTCGCTATCCATCAAGCGGCAAGACTATCTTTCATCGTCCCTTAAACCGCAGCAGAATAGCCGAATTGAGTCAAGCTAGCTTTGCTTATCTATTCGGAGAAATGGTGGGATATGCACAGAAGCGTGTGACGGGCATTCAGGATCTAGAGAAACGGTGAGAGCTGATTTCAAAAATAACAAATGACAGAATGGCTAACAAGATGATATAGTCTAAACATTCAAGGATATCCCATCGGTCTTAAGCTACTTGACCTTTTATTGTATCGCGAACCTTCCCGCTCCCAAAGCCGACCATTGAATATCATTGCGCTTCTCCAATTTATAACAACCACCGTGTGGCGACATCTATTCTCGCGCTCTGCTGACGCACTGGAAAAGTCATCTAACCCAAAAACTCCTGACGAGTATATGATAAGTGATAACGAGCCGGTGGTGAACCAGTACATAAGCGTGCCAAAAGAGATGAATCAACTAAATTGTGCTGCATTTGTTGCAGGAATTATCGAAGGAGCCTGTGACGGAGCAGGATTCCCAGCAAGAGTTACTGCGCACAGCGTAGGAAAAGGCGAAGAGGGTGAGCTCTGGCCAGGAAAGACAGTATTTTTAATCAAATTCCAACCAGAGGTGCTCACACGAGAAGCCTTTGTGGGAAAGACTTGAAAGAGTGAGCTTATTCGGTCTTACACTCCTCAGAGGTGCGAAATTCGCAAGTTTTAAGGTGGAAAGTTCTCACTCTGTTACCAGCATTCGAGCAAAATACAGTGAGATGGGTTCAAAGTACAATGGGACAATCTGGTAGATAAGTTTACATTGTCACAGCTTTAAACGGCGCAAGGAATATCGGAGTCATGGTACGGCGTAAAGGAAATACGGTGTGTTAAAGGTAGGATCTTGAGATGGAACCCAATGGTCTACGAGATCAGCAAAATTTCTTATCAACGAGTTCTATCATTAGGTCTCACTGATACATGAGAATAATATATATAAGCTAGAGAAACCAGTTTACAGCACTGATAACACCTTGTTACCGAATATTTTTCTTATCTTGGCAAGCTTTTGTCCCCCGTTTCGAGCCCCCTTACGTTCCGGCTATTTGATTTTATTTTAGGACCTTTTTTCATGAGTTCGGCGAGCCCTAGATCCCTCCATGCTGGCTCTTTAATGGTTTGCGTCGCACGTTGTATTCCAAATGCTGCGTGTTGATCGGGTACAACATCGTCTTCGTCTTCTGGATTTATGGGTTGGTATTGCGGAGGTACATATATCTCGTCATCAGGAAGCTTATCTTTGCAGAAATCTTCAATGAACTCAACATGTCGTGCAGCATTAAAGTGCACATAATAGTAGTTGGTATCCTTAGACTTGTAGCTGGAGGTCAGCTTCAAATTTTGCATGGCTAGTAAGGGCTTAGCTAGGATAGGTTACCATCATTGACAAGATGTAGCTTGAATCGTTGCACTATCGACACGAAAGTGGTGGGGACAATCGATACATGCATCAACGCCAAGCATAAATGCCAAAAGTTGTTCTAGGCACGTGCGTAAGGATGAGGGCCAGAGCTACAGGTCGAATGACCTTTGTCTACTTCCTTATCTCCGCATCAAAGAGCCGGGGAGGAGTCACTATCAGTCAGGTTGGCCTGAGGAGGCAGTATTCGAGTTATGTTGGAGTGTCGCGGTGCATCACTAAAAATAGGAGTGATCCGTAGCAAGTAATTTAATTCATTCTACGGCATAATAGTGCGACGTTGAGATACATAAGAGAGATAGGTGATACATCTGTTAATGTCATCATACTCTTCGTACACCGACTTGCAAATTCATCCAATTACGGTGCAGAGAGGGCCTGATGTCAAGTAGGCTACGCCGGACAGAGGCTCATCCTCAGCCCAACTTCCGTAAACGGCCACCTGTAGATGATTAAGATCAACAATTTTGTCCTGCTGAGCAACATGCTATTGAGATACAGGAGGTCATTTTAGCTTTGCGTGCTAGCCATATCAGCCAAAAATTAGCTCCCTCGACCGCCTTTGAGTAGCGAGTCAGATAAGATGACGAATATAGCGACAAGAATACGGAGCCCTTGTGCGAAGGTTAAAAACTAATGATAAGCGTCACACATAGGATCACGGATCCACAGTGCGTTGCTGATTAACTCTGTATTTCGCCTTACACCATTATCTTGAAATACATAAGATGTTTGATGGCCTCGGTGTTGCAATAGCCCCCCACGCAATAATTTACCCACTCGGAACCGGAAATACATTTACCCGCAATTACCAATCAAGATGATTCAAAGGTACAACCGAAACTAGCTCCCACACAACATTCAATTTTAACAATTCTACAGAGTACTTGAGGATAGGAAAAGACGGGAAGCTGAGAAAATACGGATCCAAGAAGAAGACTTCGCAAAAGCTCACGCCAAAGCCATAGAAAATAACGACACACACGCCTACGGTAACTATTGTCTCTTTTAGCACCCACTCCAACTCTTGAATTGGTACAACTATTTAATCAACCGCGCCTCCAAAACACCTACACGTTGAAGAATTCAACCTGACTTGAATTATAGTCCCTCGATATTTGCCAGTATGTCTCACGAAAATGTCTGGAACTCGCGTCCCCGCACCTACGGCAAAGGCTCCCGCTCCTGGTAGGCGTAACAAGTATAATCTACAAATTAATATTCAAACTAACAGAATATCTAGCCGCGTCTGCACCCACAAAGCCGGCCTCATCCGTAAATACGGCCTCGACATCTGCAGACAGTGCTTCCGAGAGAAAGCCTCAGATATCGGTTTCGTCAAGGTAACTGATATCAATCTTTGTCCAAAACTCTTTCAACTGACTTCTACCAGCACCGCTAGTAAACCCAATTAATACAAGTAAATACTAGCTACATTTGTTTTCTAAATTTATGGAAACGATAAATAAGGGTAAAATGAACAACTACCTCTGAAAGATACCAGATAGCGATGACTTTTATAAATAGTCTTTCCATTCTTACGGAAAATCAGTACAAGATGAATGTCTAAGGAATGTAAATTCCACCTTGTCAGTTTTCTTACATTAGTGGCTTGTTTACTTCAAGTTTATTCCCAGTCAAGATTCGAATTTCATCAAATGCAAGTTATCGTAAATATGTGAGACTATTCCCAAACTATGACCTTTCGGTGAATCTTACATCATTTTTCACAATTTCGTTGCCTCTACAATAATCATGGACAAGCAAAACAATCAGAGGTCAAATTTTGACAAGGACATGTAGCAGATTGTGTGAAGAAACTTTCAAACGTATCCCGAAATTTGCCACATTATCATGAAATCACTATTAACAAGTGGATAATTAATGTCCGACTCTTCATGTCCCTGCCGGCCAACCACCGCCCTTAAGCTGGAAGCAGAAACAGAATCCATTGTAACTTAATCCTTTATTCCAAGTAATGTTGATTCAGATACATAGATTCCCTTACAAGAGAACAATTTCTAAAGACCTGGTGACGGGTTTGTTGGTTTCACTTCGAATTTTCTTCTTCGAAAGATAGCTCTTTAAGCTGACAGATAGATATGGAATCAATTTTTGTTTATTCATCCTAAAAATCAGGTAATATCATAGGGTGATAGAGACTGAATAATTGTCAGCGGTGTCCTGTACAAAAGTAGGATTGAATCAGCCTCCGAGAGCCTGATTCAATAAATTTTCGAAATACCGAGGAACTCGGCCCAGATGATAATGATTCAATACCCTAATCAGCCGGCAAAAAGAATTCTTCACCTTCCAGTGGTGCCGGTGTAATCGCTCAATATGCTTTGTGTATCTGGGATAGCAAAGAGGAATCGCATCCGAATCGAGGTCGAAAGCAAGTTCATGCGCACCTAAAATCGACGACTTCTCATCACTATTAGATCTATCATTCTCACGCGAGTCCTCCACCTCAATCTCACTGCACCACCTCGCCTCAAATACCAGTAATGGCGTTACTCCAATTGCAATCGGGCATTTGCCTCATCAAAAACCGGCCATCTCCCACTACACATTTACGATGCTATGTATATCCGCGAGGAGGAAATTAAGTCATAATCTACAGAGCTCGGGTCTTGGTCTATGGAGGGCCGTTGCTCTGATAGGGCTTCACATCTTGAGGGACGACAGGCAGCTGGGTCATGAAATGAGAAAGGGAAGAGTACATCTATGAGAATGATGGAACTGATATTATTAGAATGCATTTGAATTTGGGGTGCTTGTGAGCACCGGAGGCTACGATTCGGACAGTGCTACCGACAATTTTACAATAGGCAACAAAGGGAGGTGTTGTGGTCCACCTCCTGGTCGTCATCTCCCCGATTTAAAATCTGGGTAGCCTGGACATCTACCTTACTCGATAATGGGAGGACTCTGAGGCCATGTCTCGCGCGGTGGCTTTATACAAGATGGCAAAGGCAGGTTAGGGTATCCAAAGGTTTTTTATGTTCTCCCTTTGGTAGATATCAACGGTTGAGGGAAGGGTGAAAGTCCCTAGCACCAAGCTCTCGAGTGGCATCAGCGAATGCACCCATCACATGAGTAGTTCAATGTCAAACTGGGTTTTCGTCTTACATGGTCGTCTGGGAAGGACTAGCCTTCTCCGTATCATGCTCTGAAAGTGCTAGGCCTGTGCCCTTTACGGATAAATATTCGTTCATTCATTCGTATATTCATAGTAATCTAAGTTCGAATCAGGCACAACCTACTTTACCTTATTCTACACTCCAACGTTGAAGATGGATCGTACGACAGTATATAACATGAGTATGGCAACAGGGTCGGTTGATAGAATTCTAGGGCGCGGAAATCAAACCATACCATACGCCAATCTAGTATAATGCGTCAAACAGGCCCAGTGAAAAGGATATGAGTAGTCTCGGTCGTAAGTCATGTGTGAGAATCTTTTTTATTCTTATCATAGATTAATTTGAGATATTCAGGGTCTGGATTTTCAGGAACATCACATACGCCCTATATGTGAAGGAAATAATAACTCCTCAATTATTAAGCTTGTAGAGCGCATTGATTCAAGTAACTACCGTGGTGCATTTGTAAAGATTTGGAATCACTTAAGTGCTAATAATCCGACTGACTTGATAGCCCCATTTAGTCTTGATGCTGACTCTATATATTATTTTTACGAGAGAATATGGTATTAAACTATCTCTGAAAAACCTTTTTTTTTTTTTTAAATCATATTGTATTCAGCTATCTAGCTATGACAATTCTCTGAAAAACTATGACGCTTAGATGTGAGTGTTGTAATGGCACAGATAATATCGGTATCTAGTTAAAATCTAATTAATGTAGCACGTAGGGCCTATGAGCGGAAAAAGGTTAGTGATAAATTAGATATCACCGATCGCTTCATTCACCCTTAGAACAATCCCGAGAGAGACCAGATACAGCGCTTTCTAGAAGTGTGTAGGATTGATTGATTATCATGTCCATAAATCTGTAGTTAAGCATACAAGATAAATGTGGGAAAGGCGCAGGGTGTCTTTTTGTCTGAGTAACTTTCTCCAACTCTTCTTTCACAAACTTACTCGGCCTGGAAGGCTGGTAGGACTGGTAGTGGTGAGTCTAGGGATCACACGCCCGTATCATATCTCTTAGGTGTAGGGCTTTTGCCTGATACGACATAAATACTTACAATACACGACAAGAAAACCCCAAAAGATAACACTCGCATTCTAATTACGCTATCGATATAACCATCAGATTAAATTCTATGCCCTCTAAGTAGTGCCAAACGTTTACTTGGAAGTACCAAGTGTATACGACCAAATACACCACCACCCTTCATTAGCATGGAGCTTTCAGAATTATAATATGGTAAATGTGTTATCTAATAAAAAAGATAATGAAGTATTTATAATGGCTGTATTAAGCAAAAGCAATCTGTCTTAACCCGATTATGGAGGTAAATTAATTTTCGGGTTAAAAACGGATGCATAGTCTATATTATTGGCCTCAGTATTACCTGTAAGTTTAGGTTGAGAGTAATATGGCATGAATAGAGAACTGTTTTATGAGAAACTATCTATGGATCTACTGTTTTAGACCATCCCAATAGGCTTAGGTATCCATGGACCTTCCCAAAGTGACCAGCCGTTTGAGTGCGAAGCATGAGATTCGGTGGTGTCATTCACTATGTCGGGTATTTTGAGGTTTAGCTCCATCACTTCTAATTCTGTCTTAACATCTTCAACACTTATCGCTGCCAATTGCTTAACGTCAACTTCCAGAATCTTGGAATGCAGTTGAGATGCCCGTAATAATAGGGTCACATCCTGAGTTGTGTCCTGGATTTCATTGAGAATGGCAATGATGTGGTCTCTCGGCCAATTACTGAGCGATTGTTCTACGCGTAGACTGAGATGATCGTCCGTCTCACCAATAAGCCTTCGTAAAAAGACCTCACAATCATCAGGAAGGTCCTGTCGTTGGGCGGCTTCAGGAGCGAGGTGGACCCAGTAATAATCCCAAATCCAGGACAAAGCCTTCCGACTCACGGTGCGTAGTTTAGATAGTGAAGGTAGTTCTTCGTGAGTTGCTTGATGTCGTAATTCAACAAATGTAGCTGGAAGTCCAATATTTTTAGCAATAGTGTACATACTAAGTTTGTAGCGCTTGTCTTGGTGACAATCTAGAAGGCCGGTGACGAATCTAGTTTAAAATTAGACTGATTCCATGGTCGAAGAGAATTCAAATTTCAGTCTGGCCTACCAACACCGAAAGGCTATAATTTTTCTCTAGGCAGCTGTCTGCATTCCTAACACGACCCAAGTCCAAACTTTCTAGGTTGAAAATGGCGACACCTTTCCAAGCTTACCTGCAAAAAGCTGCGGCATAGACGGCCCTGACGCAATATGCTTCGTTTCCTCGCCCATCATTCAGTAAAGCACTATTTAGAATAGCAGTGCTTTCTACCAAGTGTGGACAATTGCCTCGCTGCACCCAGACGCTCACGCGCGCTATGGCCTCCTTCTGTTGACCCTCATCCGCACTTCCTTCGAATCTGGCGGATCCAGTCGCGAGTACTGTCGATTGTGGATAAAGCTGCGAACGAACTTGGAGTAGTTCGGCCTGAGTGCGCCATGGAGTGATCACGTATTGCACCATATCGCGGTTTACACACTGGTATAATTTGGGGTTGTGCGGGGGCCTGGTTTGACATGATAGCAGGAAATTTGAGATCGTCTCACTTTATATCACGTGACTAAGACACCATCTGACTGCCTTATGCTATAATGCGCCTTGAGACCCACACACTTCCTAAGAGTATCGCTCTTGGAAAGGGCTTCGAAGTTTTTGATGCGCATGTGAAAGGCGCTCTAGAAGGGACAAAATCTGCACTAGCACTCCCAAATGCTAAATTAGTTACGGACCTAAGCGGCAAGAACGCTCTCGACTTGCCCATACTAGACGGGGCAAGTACAAGTTCAACGGGTTCCGAGCCACATATCCACAATTGCAAATGATCCCGCAGACAAAGCAGTGAAAGATGGCACCCATGAACTAACTTCAGATGAAATATTTTTGTCATATGCTGGTCTGAAACGCTGGGCAAATGAGTTCACAACGCAAGCCACTGGCAAATATGGAGAGAACTCTTCTCCCCCAGCACGTAAGCTATGAGAAACTAGGAATTAAATCAGCTCCCTCTAGGCATAGAGAAATTACCCCTCCGCGTGCCACTCTAGATCGTGTACTAGCAGCTAGATCTAGACATGGCGATTCCGCCAACTACCAAGAGTGCTTCAACAACGAGAATGCACCAAAATATTGCCGATGTGGCCGTAGAAAGGCCCCACTACATTTAATCTTCTGCCACACAGGGAAAAGAAGATCACGTCTTATGCAGGTCCACCTTCAAAGATGATCACGTTCATTCTTGGCACACATGAAGGGGGGCAAAGAGGGTAGAACTGAACACCTGTACGCGGTGTCCTTTACGGACCCGTGAGTGAAATATTCACCCAGAGCCAAGTTCAGTCAATTTCGCGATATCAAGGAAGTTGACCCACGAAGCAATGATTCAAAATACTCCACCACGTCAATTTTTCGCTCCCAGCGAGTTTGAATCCTACCCAAGTCTCAGTAAGTCTACAAGTACGACATAGTACATCCTCATCCCAATGACCACACCTCTCTTTGACCTTCTCTGGCCTCAGTTGAACGCTAAATACACACCCACGCCGATATTTACACCCGACGGAGGAAGTAAAACATGGCGCACAAATCTGGGAGACAGTTATTTGGGATGGACGTGAGAGGGATCAAGACAAGTTGACAAGATGATGCAAAGGAAGGATCCAATTTTGAAGGGCGTGAAATTTCAAAATTTTGGCAAGAGTTTTACGAATTGAGCTTTGTGCGCGTCAAGACTTCGCTTGCGAGAGTGCAGCTTACACTATAAACACAAGTAAACGATGGAAAGTGTTGTGGTCCGCGTCCTGGTGATATTCTCTGGTATGTTTTGAGTAGCCTGGGCACTTACTCCACTTGGGAAGGAGACAACTAAGACCACATTTCGCGAGGAGAAATGTGAACGGATGATGAAGGTATGTCTGGATAACTCAGGGTTTTTGAGACGTTCCCCTGGGTGGGTATTCACGGATGAGGGTTGACTTGGGGTGAAGAAAAAGCCGCCATAACTTCGCAGTGGTACTTGTAAATGAAATCTGAGGCATGAGTGCCCCTCTTGTAAATTGAGTCATCTTTTCTGTACTTTTCTTTGATATTATCTCATAGCCAGATAGCTGCATACGCAATTAAAATCTAATGCAAAAAAACATCACTATCTTTTAAGAATGAGAATTGACATCATTCACTTGTAACTATATTAGTCCCCCTTAGATTGGATCCAATCATCCCGTGTGATACCAAAAATCTCTAATTTGAAATTATCGGATAAGTGGCTAAGACTTTAGTTCTCACGTTGACAGCGAACACTGATTTACTTGTTACTGGCAGTTTATTTACATGTAGCTTGATATGGATTAACTAGAATCTAAACTGAATATACTGTTACTCCTTCAATATATTGAAACAGGAGTAAATCTGTTGACATTTTTTTATTATCACGGTGCAAGTTCGAGAGAATTGTGGCTTCGTTGAAGGATACTTATTTGAACTTCTAAATTAAGAAATGTCAGATAGGCACCTCCGCACCTAATTCTCCAAGTACGTCATCAAGGACTTCCTCAGGACCAACACCCTCGAGTAATTCAGATACAGCTTCAAGTTCACTTCCCCACTGCATGCTTCGCTCGTTTTCAGGTTTCACAATTTGTATTCGGTGCGTGTAAATTTTTTTGGCTGCCAGAGCGACAAGTGAAGGGGTGACATAAGTGAGATTATGAAGCGGTGCCAAACATCTGTTTAACTTGTCAAAATACTTGGTGGCGGTCGCTGTGATACCACCGCCTACAGCTCGATGAAGTCTTAGAAAAGAAATAATATTCATTTGATATTGCTTGACCTCCATACTAAACGTGGTCATGTTGGTGAGGTTGGTTAATCGCTCAATTTCCTAGAATTTCTCAGCTTTAAGAAACGTCGGATATATAGAGCACGTGACTTGTACCTGGCTTGATATAGCAGGTTCTACAGGATCTTCGTGCCCCTTAAGATCAAGACCTTTTATTATCACTGAGGAGTTTGAGCCGTCGTCATCATAGCTTTCTTCTAAGTTTGGGAATCCATCTTTAAAGTGGTGAAAGTGTGAAATAAACATATAATCATTTAGGTGCTTCATCAAACTTAAATCTTCGACACCAGCCAGCGCGGCAATTACCAAGAATCTTTTGGGAGCGGTGTATAACTCTGCCTGCACATAAAGTCGCTTCGTCTTCATTAGCTCTAAGGCTTGCATCTGAATCTGTCGTGGCGCTTGGTTGAGATTTTTTGCAATTATCACATTTACCATCGTTCCATTTCCTTCCGGGGATCTAATTGCCGTTGTTCTAGTAGGGGTACCCAAAAAATAAACATCATGGCGAGTTTGGACAGGAGATTTTGACCGAGATCGCGAGTTTTCCAAAGGCAGTATTATACTATTAAATACGTCCAATGTGGTGTGCCTGTTGCAATCAAGCACGGCATGTTTGAGGCCAAAATCTCTAGTAAGTACCTAAGATTATGTGAGAATTCATAATGATAATTAGAATCTCTCATTACCAGTTGCAATTCGCGTACTAAGTCGTCAATAGATACAGGTACCGTTTTGATGATGCAATGCTCCTGGTTCACAAGACATATGAGTACAGCGAGTTCGATATCGCTGAGATTCTGAACCTTTTGAATAAGTGAATTGTCTGCCATTTAACCAGGGCAGATGAAGGCCGGTTGAGCATCATTTGCATCCTGTTTATGAACTCAACTTAATTGGACAGCCTTGTCCGAGGGCTTCGTAGTCAAGTTATGCACAACACTAAGCGCGAAGCTTTGTCCACCTTCCTAACATGGAGCCAAACTTCAGTGTTCCGTGCTGGCGCAGTCCACGTCAAAAATACTAACGCGCTATGCACGTATAAAAATCATTTCCAATATGGCAAAACCTACTGCCGATTGGGAAAAAGTAGGCGATAAGTTTTACCGAAAGGTTCAACTATATACCGAAGTGTTTGATCGAGATCTGGAGCTTGAGAACCAAATCGTTACTGGTTGTTTGTACGGAGGCGCACTTGGTATGGCCCAGTCTTTTATTTTCTTATCTTCCGTAGTGATACCGTAGCAGATGGTTAATTCGAACCAGCCTTCATATACTGAAATTGCATAACAAACTATGAGCCAAAAGATATGTGCAAGCGCACGAAGCCAACGAACTTTTAATTAAATGCACGTCTGAAACAATATCAGCAGTCATAGACTTGGATGAAGTATCTCCACAAGTGCCCAGAAGAGCACCTACATATGTGACTGAGGCTGTCTGAAAGATAGTCTCGAGCTACTCATTCATTCACAACAAATGAGGCCTTGACTGACTTGGAATTATTGATAGCTATCTATCGGGATGATACAAAACTTCATAACTTTCGTGGAGTCAAGACATCTAAGTTCAGCGTTGATCTTTACAGCTGCGCAGGCAAATTAATTAGGCGAATCAATTGGGATAAAGGTTCTATCAAAGGCTTGGGATGGTCTGAAGATGAGAAACTTATAATTGTATCTTCTGACGGTACCGTACGTTGTTACTACAACTTTCAGGGTGACTTCACACAGTTCACTCTAGGGAATGAAGCTGATGAATACGGCATCTTGAGTTGCAGGTCTCGAAGACTTTGATCTTATGCTACAAGAAACTGAGCTAACTATTCGCGCAGATTTTATGGAACCGGATTTGTGGCTCTTTTATCAAACAATAGACTAATAACGGTCGCAAACTACGAGGAACCACGGCCTAAATTGCTCGCTGCCTCATCTACTGGCAATGTAAACTGCTGGACGCTCATTCCTCCCGCATACCCACTCTCCCGTTCCGTTGAAGTCTTGTTGAATATAAATAAAACAATATACGTTGTAGATGCCTCTGAGTCCGAAGATCGAATGCTTGATATTGGGCCTTTTACACATATTATTGTATCCCCTAACGGCAAGTTTGTAGCTCTTTACACAGCGACAGGTACTATTTATGTTATTACTAGCGATTGTCAAAATAGACTTAGCGAACACGACACCAAAACTGTCGTTGCTCCGAGAGATATTCAATGGTGCGGTAATGATGCTGTCGTGATCGGATGGGAAGACGAGATTCATATCATTGGGCCTGGAAGCGCTCCAGTCAAGTACTTCTTTGACAGCAGAGTCCATCTAATCCCAGGTAATACGAAACTCATAAAATCAAAGCTAACTGCTAAATCATTTCAAAGACTATGATGGTATTCGCCTGATCACAAATGATGCGTGTGAATTCTTACAAAAAGTTCCCGAAGTTACCGAAGAAGTCTTTCGGTTTGGTACCGAATCAGCTGCATCTATTCTTCTCGATGCTGTTGAACAGTTAGAAAACCAGTCACCAAAAGCTGATGACAATATTCAACTTATCCGACCTAATTTGGTACAGGCTGTTGATACATGTGTAAATTATAGACAACCAAAAAATGGATTTATACTTACAATCGAATAGGTCAAAGCTGCCGGTCATGAATTTAATGTTAATTGGCAAAAAAAACTTTTAAGAGCAGCATCATTCGGTAAATCGGCACTAGATATATACAACAGTGATGATTTTGTTGACATGTGTGAGATACTTCGAGTTTTAAACGCTGTTAGGTTTTACGAAATTGGCCTACCGCTTTCTTGTGATCAGCTCTATCGTCTCACTCCTGAAAAACTAACCTTAAGGCTGATAAACAGGCACCAGTATCTTTTAGCTCTCAGAATTTCATCATATCTGCGGCTTCCTACTGAACGAATCTACGTTCACTGGGCCTCAGAAAAAATAAGACTAAGCTCTGAAGATGATGAAACAATATGTCGTCTAATCACAGAAAAACTAGAAGGCAAATCGGGAATTTCATTCGAAGAAATAGCCCGAGCAGCATACAATGAAGGTCGTGGACGCCTTGCTACAGAACTATTAAACCATGAACCACGCGCGGGTAAGCAGGTACCTCTTCTTTTAACAATGGAGGAGGACGAGATCGCGCTAGATAAGGCAATTGAAAGCGGTGATTCAGATCTCATATATTATGTTCTGTGGCACCTTAGGAAAAAACTTTCACTTGCTTTCTTCTTTCGTGTCATCAACAGCCGGCCTGTCGCTACTTCACTCATGGAGGCCTCGACCCAGACGGATGAGCTGGAGTTTCTTAAAGATCTCTACTATCAAGATGACCGACCGTTAGATGGCGCTCATGTATTTGTACGTGAAGCCCTGCAGCAGCCGAACAATCGCACCGCGATTGACAAGCTTGCCTTGGCAGCGAAACTTTTAAGTAACTCGAAAGATTCCTCGTTCGAGCTTCAGGCCTTGCACGATGCTAGTGTTCTACTCAAGTTACAAGAAACTTTTGATCGTGATTTGGCTGATAAGTTTTCCGGCCTCAGCCCGAACGAGACACTGTTTAAACTTGTGCAGCTTGGACATACAAGTCAGGCTAAGAAACTCCAGAGTGATTTTAAGATATCAGACAAAACAGCCTGGTGGATTCGGTAAGTCTGCGGCAGTATTTTTATCAATTGAAATTCTCTCGCTTCATAGATTTCAGGCGGACTGACTAACATGACTAGGTTACGTGCCTTGATTTCGAAGCGTGACTGGCATAGGCTGGAAGAATGGGCCAAAACTCGCAAGTCACCTATCGGATGGCAGGTAAGTACTACTGGGAATATCTTTATGAAGCCTTTGGTTTAACTAGATCACTAGCCCTTCTTCAATTACATTCTAGCTGCTGGAAATCCAAAACTGGCAAGCATTTTCGTCGCGAAGGCAGCCCCTACATTAGCAGCCGGCGAGACAATAGTAATGTACGAAAAATGCGGCTTGTACGTGAAGGCAGCTGAGGAGGCAGTTAAGTTTAAGGACATCGAAGCTGTGCATCGATTACAAACGTTGGCGGGTATAGGGACAGCCGAAGCTAAGGAGATTGAGAGACTAGGAGCTACTATGAAGAGATGACAGTTTAGTAACTCGATCGGAGCTTGAAACGCACATTTACGCAGTACTCTGAATTACACGATATGGTCACTTTGGTATGCACTGTAATACGTGATCCCAGAAAATTTCTTGTTCACCCTAAGACCCTGCCTTTTGTCCTAAATATCGATGACCCCTCGCTATATTTCGCTTTTTACAAGTCAAACTATTCCTAAACTCCGGGCTCATACAAGAATGCTTGCCTGAGATAACCCTGGATCTATCTGGCCATAGCCGGATGAAAATTAAGATGCATTCATGACTTCATTTGATTTTGTTTGAAAATAATGAGTGAGGGTTAAATAAATGTTTGGAAGTTTCAGTGATTTTGTGAGGGAATTTGCATCCGCTATTAGAGTTTTCACTGAAGCACCTATTTCTTCTCAGCTGGACTGCGTGGAAGAGGGCCTACTGGGTGGTGAATCTGTAGCAACAGCATCAAGGTTCATGGGTGGTACAACCATGGTGCGACGGCAGCTATCGCTGCCATCAAATACGTAGGGACCGACGTGATTTCGTGGTGTCATGGGGCCCTCAATCGGGGTAATTAGTTCGTGTGATGGGGTGAGAGATGGCTGCAGTGAGTTTGTACGATGAGGATCGACTGTAGGTATTGGGCTTTGGTTTGATAGTGAGGCAGTCGCTGATCCGACAGCAGCTTCTGTTGACTGTTGAGATGCTTTGTTGCTGGTCGGCTGCACGGCCATCTCGACGCTGATAGCAGGAGCGGTGATAGATACTTCGGCAACACTACGGTTCAGGTTGGAATCTGGTATTGAGGCAGTGGTCGTAGGATGGAAAGGGCTAATAGGCCGTTTATGTGCTGTTGACTCTATATTATCGTGACGAGTACGAAGCTGAGGGGGATCGATAGGTGGATTAGAGACTTCCTTGTCAGCTGGTAGGCTGACTTCTTCAACTTTCGCCTCTTCCCATTCATCGCCACGGGTATCTTCTATTTCAGCCTCTAAGTCTGCTACGGTCCGGCAGTTGGGACAGGTAAAATTTGGCCAGTAGGGACCGTTAATAATAATGCGGATGCACTTGTAGTGCCAGGTATGCGAGCAGGGCGCTACGAATAATGACTGGCATGGCTGTGCACAAAATGATTAGAGCAGCGATAACTAAAGCACTCCGGAACTTACAGCAATAGGGCCAAGACATATCGAGCAATCTTGGGATGTTCGGCAGGCAGGCTGGCCGGGGTTGTTGAGTTCACGTAAACGTTTGTGAGACTGCATACTATGCAAGCGGTTAGAAAGTGGGTGCTTAAGTAGGCATGGTGGTATATATACTTGTAACTACTGGGTCCCATCTGCCATCCTTTGTTTAGTTCTATTCGTATCTTTACACACCTGAATATCATCTCTTCCCCGCCCTTGAAATCTATGCCTAATTGTACAATGTCTCCGTCATGAATGGGATAGGGTTTTGACTCGACACCAGGGGCACTAAGTCGAATGTGGTTAAGAAAAGTTCCAGATGAACTTTTGACGTCCTTAATGAGCCAACGGCCGTCCGAGTACCAAAACTCACAGTGCCGACGACTAACAACCTTAGATTTGAAGCCAATTGGTGCAGAAGAGGGCATATTAGAGGCCTGAATTGGGTGGAGATCTCGTTCCGAATAGCGGCCGACTTTGATGACATCGTTTTCGGAAGGCAGTACACGAGACATGGGCGTGAAGATAAGTGATGGGCGAATAGCACGAGGATCTTGATATGCGGATAGTCGGATGGATGGTGGTTTGTGAGCCATACCTTGGGAGCTGGTGGCTGGGTTTGCGGATGACGGCAATGTGGTATCTTCTCGAGCGAGGACGTCACTAATGTTTTCAGGCGCTATATTGTTAGTCACTGCAGCACTAGGAGTAACTAACAAGCTGCGCGGCATGGAAAAAGCTGGCTCAGGTGATTCCACTAGTGCGCTGTGATTTGATAGAAGGGCGGAAGAAGATGCGGTTGCAGTGGCTTGCGGTTCCGTAGCGATTCGCGAGACGCCACTTTGCCCTCCAACGGTTGGAAGCCAGCCACTCGTAGCACCGGAATTTTCAAGGAAGCCGGAAGAGTTGGAGATGAAATTTGTGATGATGGGATCTAACCTCGGAGCATCGGAAGAGAAATTATTGGAGGAGCGAGTTACTGAAGTGCGCGACGAGCCCTGGTGCCCGTTAGTGTAGGCATTATTATGGTGGTTTTGGAGCTGTTGTTGTTGCTGTTGTTGCTGTTGCTGCTGATGGTAGTTCTGACGATAAGTTCGCAAATAGCTGAGTGGGCGTAATCGGGAGCGGGTCGGTGAGGAAGAATCGACCTGCGAAGGCTGTGATGCCGCTGATGGCTCGGACGATGAAAACATGTAGACTTAGGTTAGACCGCCTGATAATCTCACAGCCTCATGAATAATGATTGACCGAGACTAAGTGCCGAGAACAGCCGCGTCACGGAGATCAACGAGGGAAACGAAGCACCAGGTGCAATGAGGGACACGGAAAGTTTGGTAAATTAGTGGCAGGTGATGGAACGTGATTATTGCTGTGATAGGAATGAGAATGGATGGGGAGATTGTGGGTGTCGCTGATGGGAGTTCGCATGAGGGATTGACGGTGTCAGAGGTTCAGTCTTCGGAATGAATAGATGAAACCCCGACGAGCATGAATCTACAGCCGTGACTCTCCCCCCTTTGAGTTCAGGCTTGAAAGGGAGAGAGCAGGTGTGTTTGACTTGATGAGGCTGCGGAGGGACTGGCACATGTCGTACAGCCCATAATGTTTCCTATTGAAACTTGGGAAGCTCCATGTTGCCTGTTGCAATCGGCATTTGACGATGATATTTAGCATCAACATTTGTTATTTCTTACAACTCATCATGGCTAAAATCTATTGCTTGTTCATCTCTTAACTGTCTTACCTCTCCTCGAGTACAATTTATGATAGGCCGGCAACCAGCCATATCTACACTCTAGATAGCCTCCTCCATCATTTCCCATCGAAACTCACACGCAAAATACGCCTCGTCTTTACCCTAAGACAAAGACTCAACGACATGCCGATAATTTCCCAGGAATTAATATGTGTACCCATACAAAAACCCTACGAACTATTGCTGGATAGATATAGGCTAATGTGCGACCTGATATCTATGGATGGCATGGAAATCCACTTTGTTGCCGCTATTGACCTTCAAGCGAACAGACAAAAGTAGATGCGATGATAGACGATCAAACGAGACACAGCACATCATTCCACGAGGTGACGGTAGAACAACGTGTATAATAAGCATCTTTAAAAAGATCAAGCGAAATAAGTGATCGTGTCCAGGATATCCATCCAACTTAATTTCATTGAATATTAACACTGCTTGTCTTTTAGCGTATTGACACTTCTGGGCAGAGGTCATGAAAGACATAAAAGAAATGTGAATTATTCCTGGCAGAGATGAACTCGCCCTTTAGACAGAAAGAATACGCTCATTTTTTTGTAGCCTGAGAAACCATGAGGACCTTGATATTATTAAAATGCATGATATTTTTTACTATGTGTTCCCTTAACCCTAAAAGCGGTGTAACAGCAGTTTGTTTTGCACTTCCCTCACCTTGCCAGTCCGTGTACCATACAAAGTTCAGGCGGCCGTTGAGAGGCAGTGTTATGACCGGGTTAGGTCTTGTCAACACCGGTTCTAAAGAGTCGAATAGTGTATGCCCTGAGTCGGAATCAAATAAAGGGTGGCATAAGACTGAACACCTGTCTACAGTGTCAAGTACAAACCTGGGAGTGGAATACTTGCCCAGTGCCAACTTCAGTCAAATGTCACAATATCAAAGAAGATAGCCAACGAAGCATTAGTCCAGGACTCCCTACCCTGTCGTGTTTCAATCTCAACAGGATTATTCCCGACTAAAGCCTTATTCAGATTACAAGTATAATCTGGTACATACTACTTCAGCGGCCACAACTTTCGTTGAATCAGTCACCGACCCCAGAAGGCCACCAAGACGACAGAGAACCACTGGAGGGAACAAATCGTGCCACAGAATTCTGGTGAGAAAGATCTTCGGAATAAATGTGAATGAGTTTGTGACAGTTGGAAAAGATTCTGCTTAAGAAAAGGATGACCTCGAAAGGTATAGAATGACGAATTCTGGGAAGGAGTTTTACATCTACATTTGAATTTGAATTCCTTTATCCCATCCAGGGACCCTATGGGTCCATGCAGGTATATCTAGCAGTAGTACTTACATAGAAGGAAACCAATTCGGTGAAATCCCCCGATTCTATCTATCTTATATCTATCAGATTTCTAAGTTTCCCTTCAGGAAGTGCGCTCACACTTTTCTTCCAGTGCGAATACCATCTTGCCCTTTTCTCAATCGCTTTATGTTTTCATTTAATGTCACCTCAAACTCATCTGCAAGCTAGAACTATTCAGACCAGACCTTAGATCGGATCCACTTTGTATGTCTCTTCATATCATCATAACTTCCAGAGATCTATCTCTTCCCTATCGTAGCTCCTCTCCTCCTCTCCTATCCCACTGAGGATAAGCCAAGACCGTATGTTTGAATTTCTATGACGGATATCCACATAGGCACCTTGTATTTGGCACTCCGTGGTCTCTCTTCGGTGTAGATAAGAGTTGAGGCCGATAAGTTAACTTCTCATCTGTATTGCGATACTACTTTTAGGCCTGCTAGGGTTTCGATAAATTTTAGAGAGTGTATTTCTTTCTGTGATCCTTTTTGTGCCTATTCATTTGTCAGTGATGATGTTTGCTGCTTCCCAATATTGTAGGTCTGCCGCCGTCCGATGACAAGACAGCTGCTCTTTCTTGAAACGTTTCTATGTGCTTTCCTACTCCTCAGATGCTGCTATCTAAATAGCTTCTTTATGTTTATTCTTCAGCTTTTCGTTGTCATATATTCTGGTCCGTTCGGTAATTTCCCGTCTACAATTCTTTATGTGACTATTCTAGCTTCCGCTGTAGAG